ACTGTAGTTCAACAGGTGAAACACCTTTCACCAAGAGTAAATGATTACCTTTTACTGTGGGTGCCAAGCAGAATCGTCTTTACTTGTGTTGTAACCTGAGACTCTATCGCCACCTAGTGTCCCGGAAGATGAGCACATGACATTTCCTAAAATCAGATTCTCAATCCACACGTGTTGCTGTCTCACCTAAACTTCTTTTTCTGCACTAAATATTTTATAAAGGAAATAGTTTAACTTTCTCCTCGAGCAGTTTTATTTCCCCATGGCGAAGCCTCATAAATATTTGGATTCCAAAAGGAATTATTATATTTGAAAAAGTAACGTTTTACTTATTGATGAACCCACTAAGGAGTCTGATGTCATCCTACTATAATTAAAACAGCTTAATTTTAAAGCTGATTTTTCAGTTTATATCAATAAAAGATTAGTAATTAAAATTTTAGTTTGTTGAGCAAAATACAGCATAGCAGTATCTCACCACCTTATCCTACACTTTAGCATTCCCTTAAAAGATTTATTTTAATTATTATAGTTTTGGCCGATGCCTGATAAGTTTGCCCATATCTCACTAAACCTTCTTGGTTTAGAGAGTGAAAAACCACTAAAACAAATTGAAGCTGATGATTGTCATTTAAAAAATGTGAAAAGGTTCTACGTGCATGAATAATTTTGCTCAATGTCTAGTGACCAGAAGAGTGTATTTTCTTGTTTCCTTTTTTTTTTTAAATGTTGCACTAGACTAGTTTGAAAGCCAACTGGGGCAGCTTTGTGGGGGCAATTGCTGATTCACCTGGAAACACGGAGAACTGGGCCCTGACCTATTTTGTTTGAAGCATGAGTTGGGATTCCAAGAACTGAGCTTGGGGTGGCAGCGCTTGTAGCTAAACCCATTTTTGTTTGTCTGCAGTTCAGGTCACAGGGCCTGAAATAAACATTTCTGGCTCTGTTTCAGAGTCTGGCAAAAAAGGAAAAACGCATTATTTAAAAAAAAATAGCATATATAATTTATATCAAGTTAGTCTTTTGCATTTAACATTATCTAAAATACAATTCACATTCTCTCTGAGCATTTGAGCTCTACAAATAGTAATAGTTTCACTGAGATGAATGATAGGTCTGTATAATACTTTGGCGCCACATAGTGGTATAAGAATATACAGGGGGTGTACAAAATCAATAAGAAGACACCCAATCATACATTCAGTAGTTTATTAAGAAAGCCTAACAAATAGACAGATGCTTAAGCTTTTTTTAAATTATTTTTTATTGCTCTTTCTTATTTACCCTCGGAGTAAAATTCCTGCTAAATATGATTGATAGCTTGTTAGGTCTGCTGCTGTAGCAACATCCCCAAACAGCACTTCATTCTCCATGCTTCACAGTAGGTATAATTTGTAACCCTCTGAAATGCTCTATTTGTTTAATGTCAAACATGTTGTCTGCATTACTGTCAAAATAATTGACACTTTGACTCATTTGACCAAGGATCATTAGCCCAGAAGTCCTGGTCTTCCACTACATACTTTGTGTAGTGGAAATCTCAATCTCAGTCTGGTTTTGTGTTCTTCTTATAGAGCAAATGGTTGATTTTCACACCACACATGGAAATTAACCTTGTGCTGAACTCTGTACTAAACATGATAAAAGCTCGTTGAATCTCATATATTGAAATATAAATTGCTAAACAGAGCAGTGTTTACATGATGGTAGTGTTAATCATTGTGAGCTGTATTGTCTTTTTTTCTCCTAGCCTGGGATTATGAGTAGGGCTTTGAACTGCAAAAAATAAGAAGAGAAATCACAGCCGTTCTTGTTCTGATAAGCTTTAGTAAACATAATCACAGTCTGAACAGGCACTAATTCTTTAAGGTTTTGAGAGACTGAGCAGCTTTTTAACAATATTATGTAAGTTTGGTTGGAAATCCAACTGGGGCTATTACCTTGTTTTAGGATCATGAACCTCTGCCGAGCTGTCTCGGGATTATGGGCCCATAATCCCCAGGTATAAATCCCTACTCATAGGGATTATGAGTAGGGATTTATACCTGACTTATACTGATGGTATAAGTGGGTTTTGACCTGCTCTGTTAAATGATCATTTCATCAATGCATCAAGTTTAAATGAATGAAAAAAGAAAAAACACATAATGAAATAAAAATGAATTTTTTGACACTTTGAGTTATGTCACTATCCAACCAAATGACTAAAATAGATTTTGAAATAGTTTCTGTAATGAGAACAACTTGCCTTTTTAAAAGCAGTAAACACAAGAATTAAAGCTTATATTCTTAAAAGAAATCTTTAAAAGCAAACATATTTATAGGTAAACTGAACAACCTTGCTAAAGATTTGCAAAAAAAAGCTTGCTACAAATTTTACTGGCAAAATTCCAAATTTTCTTTGAGCAGGGATTAATAAAGTACCAATGTCAATCTCCAGCAGTCATTAAGTGAAAAATAGGGCACACCGTTATTTCTGACAAAGTCACCTTGTTGTTTTCAAGGGAAAGCACTCAGTCCTCTTAAAGAGATATCCTCTTAAAGAGATATTAAGAATTTAGTTTTTTGTTTGTTTTGTTTTTTATTTTCAATTGAAACAATTCTCCATATGAGTACTACAGCTTGTGAACAGTGCGCTTTAAGTTACCACTTAACCAGGGTGCATGAATAATTTGTCGGATCTGTTTGATACTCAATACCACCCACGCTGAGAGCGGAGGATAGGCAGACACTTGTGGGCTGAAGTGTTCAGCAAAGCTGCTGTGTCTGACTGCAGCATCTTCAATCATCCATAGAACTGGCTCTGATTTGCTCCTAAGGATGGCTTTTGCTGATAACACCATGGATATCTGGACAAATTACTTGGGACAAAACTCTCACCTGCAACCTCTATGGGACAACCTGAGGCTAAACTACCGGGACTATGTGAGATCTCCACTTTTCCCCATTGTGCTAACCGTCTCTTCGTATTTCATATTCTGCATTCCTTATCTTGTTTGTGACATCATGGGGGATAGATGGCCATGGGTGCAACAGTTCAAGATACAACCTCGCCACCGGCCAACAGCTTCTACATTGCTGCACTGCGTTGGTGTCACCTTGTATAACCATGTGTTTCTCGTACTCCCAGCTTCAGTGGCTCAATGGTTATGGAGACCACTGGCGGACCTCCCGGACCAGGCTCCCAAGCTGCTCGAGCTGATTGCCGGGGTGATAGGCAACCTCCTTCTCTTTGACTTCCAGTACTTTATTTGGCACCTGCTCCATCACAGGATCCGCTGGCTGTATGTCACCTTTCATGCCATTCACCACAAGTACTCCTCTCCCTTTGCTCTTGCCACCCAGTGTCTGGGTGGCTGGGAGCTGGTCACAGTGGGGTTTTGGACCACTCTAAATCCTGTCATCCTGAAATCTCATCTTCTCACCACATGGGCTTTTATGATAGTGCACGTGTATGTTTCGGTGGAGGATCACTGTGGATATGATTTCCCCTGGTCTACATCTCGTCTGATACCGTTTGGCATGTACGGAGGACCCAGCAAGCATGATGTGCACCATCAGAAACCCAATACTAATTTTGCACCTCACTTCAGTCACTGGGACAGAATATTTGGCACACATGCTGACTTCAGCTTCTGTAATACTATTAAATAGCATGCATTTGACAGCAATTGTATTACAGGCTTTAATATGGCTGTGCATGACATTTTTCTTATAAAAACACATAAACAGATTCATAAAGTTGGTGAGCTGCTTTATTGAAAATGCATCAGGTCTTTTCTTGAGTGTGTTTCTATATCCAGTAAGTATGCTTATGTAACAAACTCCAATAAAAACATTTGTCACCACTATGCATGCTCTAAATTAATCATCAGTCTCATTTTTGTCAACAGAAATGTAAGATTATTTAAATGCAAGATATAATTTTTTTTGACTACATTTAATACTGTGTACCATCTTCAATGATAATAATAAAAATGACCAGAATAGACAAATTGCTTAACCCTGTGCCGGTCATTTATAAGGTCTGTGAAGTTTTCCACATTTCTTCATTAGGTTACAAAAACATTCATTGGTGTAACTTATTTGAGACGGACACAAAGTAGTTGTGAAAAGAAACAAAAACAAGACATGGTTTTAAAAAACCTGAAAAATGTCACGTGCATTTATGGTCAACCTCCTTCAGTCAAAATGTTGTCGAACCACTTTTTGCTGTAAGTGCACAACTGTATCTAACAGCAATGCTGGGCTCTGAATTGTTTACCCATTCATCTTTGAAAAATAATATCTTTTGATCATTTGTAGAAAGTGATTTTCAAGTCTTTCCACAGATTCTCCACTGGATTGAACTCTGGTCCTTGGGCCTCATGTTCCAATACATGAACATGTTTTGATCTAGAGTTGAAGTGCTTAAGATAATCTTACTCCTCAGTTTCGAGACTTTTCCAGCCTTCAACATTAAAGAACAATCATTAAACACGAATGTATTTATACATAATATTAAGCAACAAAATGTGGCCTCTACAAATGACGTGGCTTTAGGTGAGCATGCCACACTTTTTTGTGATTTTGTACATTATTTTTCCACAAATAATGGACAAATAAACTACTCTGAAGACAGTGTAAATAACAAAATTAAATTTAAAAGTTTCGTAAATTTGTTAAACACCTGAGTCTATCCAGCAATTCACACGGATACAAAGAATGGCAGCAAAAAACACATTATCCATTTGGCCACTAGATGTCGGCAAAATGCCTCCTTTTAAAGTTTACGCATCTGTTTTATTTTACACAAATTTGCGATAAAAACGTTGTTGTTTTTTTATTTATTTATTTATTTTTTATTTTATTTTTTATTTTTTTTGCAAATAACCTGTCTTGATTAAAATAAGTTAGTCACCCGCGGTCACATGGGTTAGTTTGGTAAATTATTTATTCAGCGCTCGTCGCTTGTATTCCGGATGTTGGTGGCGCTGTGTGTCCGAGCATGCGCAGAGTTAGGATATGGCTGGCGGAGAGGGCAGCAACACTAGCAGCTGCATGGACATGTTTGAGTAAAAACCTTGGTTATTTTCTCTCTGGAGCAGCTTTAAATCTCCGCATTAATGATGGGACAGTGTGGAATTACGTCCTCGAAGACGGTCCTGGTCTTCCTCAACCTGATATTTTGGGTATGTTTGCAGGTTTTTTGATCGTTATTATTATACGTGCGTCACACAAAGTGCACCCCCCGTTTCCCCCATTAGCTTAGCTTGTCTGCAGTCAGCTGTCCAACCAGCTTCAACATGTCTGATATCCGTGTTTCGCAGAAGATTCACAGATAGAATAGCAGCAGAAAATAATCCACTTCAAAAATTCAGGGCATGATACTGTATAACTTCCTCTAATTGTTTTTTGTATTTGTTTGCTGAGTTTTGTTTGCAGTTGCATGACTTTCACTCTTCCAATGATGCAGCAAAATTGTTTTCTAGTGGTCTAAAAATGGCAGGAGAGTTGTGTTAGCTCAAATCAGTGAATGAAACATAATTTTAAAGGCAGGTGCATGTTGAGTTGTTTAAATGAAGGCAGGTAATTTATTGGGAGCTGTAAATTGCTTTTGTAACAGGTATAGACTTCATAATAATGAACAAGGCAGAATCAGCTGAACCCGCTAAGTCAAAATGATCCCGTTTTTTTATTCTGGCATGTAAATTAAAATTAAGCAAATATAGGGATAAAACCAATAATTTGACTACATGACCTCAAAATTACTAATATGCTGTGTTGGGGAATGTATGAGAATAACAAACACGTCGAAATAAAAGTATGTAAAAAAAAAAAAAAAAAAACGATGTAACTTTGGCTACAATTGCTGAAAAAAATTGTACAATTGTCTTCTTACTTAAGTTAGAAGACAAACACATTGCATATATTGATAGCCTTAATTAAACACAAAAAAACAAAAAAAGTACTGATAGCAAAACCAGCAATCCAATATATATTTTTTCTAATTATCAATCAAGTGAAAATTACAATCTGTGATCGATTGGTAGATCTCAGTTTCTATTTTCTGTAGTTATTTATATTCTTGTGGTTCCAATTTTTTATTAATCACGTTAGATATTGGAATGACAATATCGGTTGTTTGGTAACATAAGGAGCAACTTTTGCTGCATTTTTTTTGGAGCCAATATTTTAAGGGCTTTGTTTTTCAAAGTCTGTATGATTTTTTTTTTCCTTTTGTTTTGAGAGAAATTTATGGTTTTATATGAACAAAAATAAGCGTTATGCAGGCAAAAGTATTCACCCTTGAGAGAAGCAGGTTTTAAGCTGCAACAAGTTTTTCCTGAACTTTTTTTCCCATCATGTAAATGCCAGAGAAAACTTCCAGAGGGAATAATCTAGAAAAAAATGCTTTATGTGCTGATACATAGCAACAACAATCAAAAAGAGATTTCACAAATTTAATATGCGGAGGAGGCAAGAAATTGTATTGTTTCAGAACATGACATTAGCTTTGAAGCATAGTGATGAAATTGCAGTGTTTTGTTCACTTTTGTGCTTCTGGTCAAGGCAGCTTGCATTTATATAGTTAGTAAATAACAAAAACTAGAAAAATCTGACTAAGTAATATTTACTGAAGATTTATGAATAAAGATGTCTAACTCGACTACATTGTCCTTTTTTTATTAATAAGGAGATAGTACACAGAAAGTTTTTTACATTGTGGATATTTTTACTTTGACAGCAGTAAATGTAATGTAACATTTTCTGGTTACCCACAGGCCGCTGCTGGCATCCTTTGTTATGTTGGCGCCTATGTTTTCATCACTTATGATGACTATGATCACTTCTTCGAGGACTTTTACACTCTGATCCCTGCAGTCATCATCATAGCAGTTGGTGCCCTGCTTTTCCTTATTGGACTCATCGGATGTTGCGCCACAGTGAGAGAGAGCCACTGTGGACTTACCACGGTGAGCAAACCAGTTCCACTGTCATATTGCGTGTTTTATTTCACGTAAAATTCTTTTCTGATTCATTCTGTTTAGTTAAACATAGAGCCACAAGTAGTGAATAATACATTTGGAAAAAGTAACTTGAACAATGGTATCTGCTATCCATGTGTCTATAATCTGGAAATCCGATCCACAGTTTGTCGTCATTCTCCTGCTGGTTTTCATGACGGAAGTGGCCGTGGTGATTCTCGGATACGTTTACAGAGCGAAGGTGAGAAAGAGAAACGTCTAATTTGTGAAACAGACGATCTTGTCTGATAACTCTTAAATTCAATTTCAGATTATTATTGGCAGTTTAGCTAATGTATTCCTGCTAACAAAATTGCTGACCCATAAAATTGAGAACCACAGGAAAGGGTGCAGACTACTTGCTATGTGATGACTGAGTTGACTAGAAAAACCAGAGGTAGTGGATTGTGCACTTTCATCTGTGTAGTTTCACATCACAATATGGGCCGGTCTGGTGAACGCTTGACTCAATTGTATCTTAGCATTAAAATGTGAACAAAGGCAGAAAAGTGTGTGTGTGTGTGTGTGTGTGTGTGTGTGTGTGTGTGTGTGTGTGTGTGTGTGTGTGTGTGTGTGTGTGTGTGTGCGTGTGTGTGCGTGTGTGTGTGTGCTTAGCCTTAAGCAATCCTCCACCTTCCCCAATCGGCCCATGTTTGCTGTAAGGCTGCTAAATATTGTCTTTGTATCCAATAGAGCAGTATGTTTACCCTTCTTTACTATTTCCAGGTGGAAGATGAAGTCAACACTTCTATCATGAAAGTTTATGATGAGTACAGTGGCACGAACAGCAACGCCCAAAGCCGGGCCATTGACTATGTTCAGAGACAGGTAAATAAAAGAAAAAAAATCGTTCATTTGTAAGCCATCCACGATTGCCTTGTGTTCTTCCACCTGTGCATCTGTTTCCAACCACCATTATTGACTTTGCTGTTTTCATTTTCAGCTTCAGTGCTGTGGCATCCACAATTTCTCAGACTGGCAGCAGACACACTGGTATGAAGAATCGAAAAACAACAGCGTTCCCATCAGCTGCTGCAAAATTGCAGGCTGCACAGGGTCTCTTAATCACCCTGAAGACCTCTACCAAGAAGTAAAAAGGCTTAAATTTTATTTTTAATCAGGACTTGTAGTTGCGTATGTTTGAACATAATTTGTGTGTGTTTGTAGGGTTGTGAAGCTCTGGTCGTGAAGAAGTTACAGGAGATTATGATGTATGTCATCTGGACTGCGCTGACGTTTGCTGCCATCCAGGTACTTCGCTCATATTTTGGTGCAGTTTGTTTCATTGCATTTTCAGCTAAATGATGTAAAATCTGCCATAAATCTGCAACAGATTTATGCAGTTATGGTTTTAATTAAGATTGCATGTTTTAATCTAGATAAGATTACCAGTTTCTGAGAGGCGTCGTAACAAAAGCCTGTTTATTTTGTAAACAAATTTGGACATTCAATTTAATAGAACCAAACACAAATTAAAGTAAAGGCATTTTAAAAGTTTTTGTAAAACGTATATCTAAAAGTTGGAAAATAATAAATCAAGATGCCCTTATTTGACATTTCCATTTGAAATGGCTTACTAAATCCAAAGAACTGTCTGTGGCCTTGAGAGAGAAGACTAGCAGCATTTGAATCTAATGAGGAATTGAGAGGTTTGCCTCGATTTCCACATGATTAAAGACTTTTCTTCTTTATGTCCTTTTTTCTTTCCTTCCTTCCATATGCTCTTATGTCCTTCCTTGTGTTTTACCAGCCTTTGATCGTCTCTTCTACCCTCCTTACTTTGGTGTCTTCTTCCTTCTCTTCTACTTTCCTTGTGTCCTAATTTTGTCCACCCCTTCTCTCTCTCCATTTTTGTAGTTTCCCTTTTTATTTTTTTATTAAAATTTTTATTTAGAAACAACATGAAGGACATGCTTCTCATCTGTTCACAAAGAGTGATATAATCTTTCACTATCCTCTTTTCAGTGTGTTATATTAGACAGCATACCCCTTCACGTGATTATCCAGTATCCGGTATCTAATATTCCTTTCTCATTTTTTTTTCTTTTTTCCTCTTTCTGTCTCCCTTTTTCTTTCCTCCTCATCCCCACTTTCCTCCCTCTTGTAGAAAAATGGGGAAGAAGAAAAAATAAACTAATATCATATTGAAACAACTTTTCAGAACCATAAAGTTTCCCGATTTTAAGTATTTCAATTGTAGAAACAGCTGCTCTAAAATCATAGTGGGACTTAGTATTTAATGTAATAAATTGAATGAAAAGAACTAATACATAGGAAAAAATGAACCTGGTATAGTATGAGATCTATCAGATGATAAAATTGTTGGAATGTTTATTTACCTTTCCAGATGTTGGGGATGCTGTGTGCCTGTGTCGTGCTGTTCCGCAGAAGCAGAGATCCTGCCTATGAGCTTCTTATCAGCGGCGGTACCATAGCGTAAAGAGTGAAACACTTTTCTCAATTTTTCTGAAAATGTATCATTGGTGAGAGGATGCAACCCCTGTGATCATGCTTATCTTTATACACTAAATACAAGAAAATATATTTTTAAGTTAATTTTCCACAAAAACCATTTGGTCCGTTTTATTTAACTCTTCTGAGAATTGCATATAATACTTCTCCTTTTTGAAAACATGAGTTATGCATAGTCAGCAGAGTTTCCTTATTGTGGTTTGCATTATTTCTATTTTTGAATCTATTATGTACTTGAATGACAGAGGGAAATTTCTACTTTGCTCCAGCTTTCTGAGGATGCCTAATACTCTATTTTAAATTTTAACGGCATAAAAAGTGGACTCCACCATCTCCTGATTCAGCAGCATGCACTGTGTGTGCATGCACTTTTGTGTGCAAGCTCTTACAGAACTGGCTTTAACTTATATGAGCTTTATTTTCGGAAATAAATGTATTTAACCTTTGATGTATTTATTGGTTTTCAGATAGAGTTGTTTTTCTCTCATATTTGTTTGTTCCAGGTACTCTACCACAATATGGTTTATTCATATTGTCTCATGTAGCAATGATGAGATTTAAGAATGTAAATAATGTGTTTAAGTAAAAATTTAAAACAAATGATATCTCTTTCTGGTTTGTTCAGACATCTGCATAACAGCTTTCTTCTTTTTCTTACGCAATTTTTTTCTGTCAAAATTTTGATGTTTTTCCGTTACTTCAGTTTCTAAAATTCTCAGATTGTCCCAAGCTAGTTGTAAGATGCTCAGTTAAAAAATTATGTAAAATGAAATTCAGACTTTAGATTCAATGATTCCTTCAGGATGCAACAGAGATGAATTGGACTTTTCCAGATATGGAAAAGACCACATCTTTTTACTGTAGCCTTTAAAAATTAAGCTATTATCTTTTAAAGTTAACAGATTGTACCATTTACTTAATGTATGAAGCACAAATGAAATCAAAATGTTAAAAGGTTGCTGCTTCCATGGGGAACTGACACCAATGAAATACACTTGATTTATCGATCATCTCAATAAAATCAAGAGATTTCTTTGGGTGATCCATCTGGTGCATAAAAGTAAGTATTCATCCAATGCTATGACGGACAGAAATCTGCAATCAGTTTTTCTGGGAACTGTTAAAATGCCTTTTCCAAACAATTTAAGATCCATTTTTCTGCAGTCAAACTTTGCTACCTTAAACAATATTGGTTTGTACAAATATTGTAATTGTGTGTATGTATTTTTTGACCTGTTTAGCTCTGGTCAACATCTACAGTTGTTATATCAATGAAATTAGAATTGAGCAAATTCACCCTAAGGTTAACAATTCTCAGAGAAATTGCAAAATCTCTAGCCCCAGAGCTACATATTAAAGCCTACAGGACTGTTAACGCTCTCCAGCCAGGTTTTGCATATTTGCAACAACTGAGCCAGTCTTTGCAAGTAATTTGAGCCTGAGAGGGTTGAAAATACACAGATCAAATATGGCTTGTTTCTGTTGCTCAGAGACCTCGTCATTGCAAGAAAAAATAGCGTACCTTGCTTGTCACTTTACAGAAGATAATTTGGACTCGTTTTGCAACCATTTGCTCAATCACTCTGTATACCAAAGTATTATGGAGTAAAATGTGAGGCCTTCTAATTAATAGCTTGGCCCAAACTGGCTCATCAATAGGACAATGATCCCAAACACAGCAACAAATCCACAAAAAGCTTAAGAAAAAGAATGCAGATACTGCAATGGCCCAAAACCAAGACTTTGACACCACTGAACTGGAAACTTGCACAAACCTCAAAAAAACTGAAGCAATGTTGAGAAGAGTGTGCCAATAAGAATGTGATAAACTGAGTGATGCACAAAAGAACTTTCAGGTACTTCAATACATGGTGGTTTTAACAACTCATATAAGTGATAATGTTCTTCGCATAGCTTTTACTAGTTTTTGCTTTGTCTTTGTTCAATAATGACAGTGTGGAGTCCACAAGATGCTTCGGTGCACTTGTATATAAATAATCTCAAATACGTCAAAGACCAGATCTTTATTTCCTGCTAAATAACACCACAGCTAAAACAGGGCTTTCTATTATTTAGACTGTCATATTTTATATTTTGACCCCATTGCTGCCTATGCAGGTTGCATGTGTGACTGTTTTTGCATTCTTAAAGTGACTCTGCTATGTTTATATCAGTGACTGCTACCAAATGAGTGGCTGCTCACCAAAGAGCATTCAGACAAAAGACAGCAGTGGACTAAAATACATGACCTACCAAAGGTTCAAATATTAATATGAGTATTAGCATGCCTTATAAATACCAATGGAAACTTAACAGTAATGTATTTTTTATTTTATTTTACATAAACAAGACAGAAATTACATTCAAGGCATGAACAGAAATCATATAAAATCTTTAAAACTTCAGACTCAACATTGAACTGAAGTGTGCTAAGAAGTTTTAGTGCCATGTTTCTGTGCAAAAGATCCGCACGACTCTTAGTTGCCAGCAGTTTGAGAAGGAGACAGTAAGGAGACAGAAAATACACAATTTTTCAGTTAGTGTAAAAATAGATTAGTTTTACACTAATTGCTGTATGTGTAAGTGCCATTATTTACAGATCGACAAATGTAACATTTCTTTAGTTTGGATTCTTGTCATAAAGTGGTTCAGTGTGTTGTGATCAACCTTTAGTTCAAAGGATTCTAAACAACAAAGAAATTGCTTGCTTTTGGAAACAATACTATGACCAGGAGAGGCTTCGCGTTGGCAGGGGGACTTTTTCTGAAAGCATGCATGCCACAAAGGTGCCTTCTGATTTCAAAGTACAAAACCATTTTGAAATATACATGTTAAACAAGCTGGCCTGAAAATTTATTCCTTAGCGAGATAAGAACCAGGAACCAGACCAGACTGACCATTTCTTTCCACTGTCCACCAGCCATCTTCCCCCTCATCTATCACAACCACAACATCCCCAACAGATATTGAGAGTTCATCTTCCCCCTGAAAGAAGAACAGGAACAGTTAAGTTCACAAATTATTCCTAAAAGGCAAGAAAAACAGAAAATCTACATAATCTACAGTGCTATTGACCAGACCTTTGCTATATAGTCGTATACAGCCTTATACTCCTTGCTGCTCTGGTTGAAATGCTGGAATTGAGGAATGGAAGCATATACACCATCCGATGATCCTGCTGAAGACAAACAACCGGTTATTATTAGGTTGAAAGTTGCAATTAACAACTCAAAAAATGGACCAGGGAAATAAATGTCTTGATCTAAGAGTGTCATTTTCTATCCAGTTTAATAAATCTTTTGAAAATGATCTTCAGTACCATTATTCTGAACACTCAGTAAATGAGCAGTGCTGTTTAAAATATTCCTCCATCCAAATAAATGTTAGAAGACACGACAGCGTTTTCTCTTTTTTTCCTTTTACCTCTGTTAAAAAGAGCGCACCAGTTTTTGTCCTAAATTTAGTAACTCATTTTAATATCTGCTGAGTTAATACAAAAGCTTTGACTGTCCTGTCTCTAGAGTTTTGTTTCTCTTTTGACTGAAACAGGTTTGTGTTTAGAGCCTTGACAAACGTTTGTTGTGCTACAGCCACAAACATCTATGTATTTCATTAGGATTTAAAATGATTCACCCACACAAAGTACTGTGTGGGTAAAGTGTTGCATGTATTTTTACATTATGAAAATATGTAATGAAGTAATGAAGTGACATATATATATGAAATGTTCTGCATATTTAGCCCTCCTTACTTTGGCACATTTAAATAAAATCCATTGCAAACGGTTGGCTTAAATAGAGTCCATCTGCATGTAATCTACTCTCCAGCTGTCCGGTCTTGGATGTTTTCTAGAAAATATTAGTGAACAAATATTCACAAATGTATCATGAAGACTATGGAAAACCACAGAAAGTATAACTGTGAGCTGAGGTTCACTTTTCCTAGATATACAGTCACTGCTACAGCGCAATGATTTATGGCCCAGACAAATCCCAGACCTAAATGCAATTGAAAATCCAAGGTCAAACTTAAGATTTGATGTTCAAAGACATTTAAGAGTGGGCAAAAAGTTCAACACCTATAAATTTGGTAGATTTGACCATATAGACTTCGAGGGCTGCAAATGCAGCAAAAGTACTGACTCAAGGGTGGGTTTGTTCATGTGTATTCTGTACTTTTCAGATTTTTGTTTGTAAAATTTGGAAACCCATCTGTCGTTCCCTTCTGCTTCAAAATTCTGCACCACTTCATGATGACCTGCTACATAAATGTCAATGGAACTGATGTCTGTGGTTGTCACGTCACAAACTGTAGAAAAGATTTAAAGGTTATTACAATGCTTGCGCTGCACTGTTTTTATGGTTAAAACTCACAGGCAAAATCTATATTTCTTTTTATAAGAGAAAAGCTACAAGTTAGTTCACTGGTTGAGAAAAAGTTTATCAACTAAATTTAAGCAAGTTATGGTTGATTGTTCATCTTGCTTTGTCTGGATGAGTCATTATGAAAACTTGGCTGAAGAGTTAAATAACATTGATACAATACCAGGAGGTTCTGACACTCCTTCAGTGATGTTCAGCTTGGAGCCAAATGTACAGCTTCCTGGCAGCAGATTTGAAATCCTAAAGATTATAAAAAGCTGTTAGAGAAGTCCACTAAAACAAGAGAGTGAGAGAAAGAGAAAGAGAGAGAGAGGAAAAAAGAGGGAGAGAGAAAGAGAGAGATAAAAATAATTTTTATTGGCTGTCATAATCTTACCTTTTCTTGACTCCCTCTACAAATCCAGCACTGCCATTCATTTGCATAGAAGCATTATTCTCGTAGTAATTTTTATATTCAATCGGAGCTGTGGGCAAAAAAGAGACTCAGTGAGCTCCACCTTGCCCTGACATAATGCCTACTCAGCTGACAGATGATATTGAAATTATTTCTCAGAACAGAACATATTCAAATCAGAAGAGGAAGCCTGCAGGCGTTACATACCCGGGGGCATCGGATTACACTTTTTCATCTCCACAAAGTAGTTGTTGTCTCTGATGATGTCACACTTTTCCAGTGAATTCCGTACATTTTCACAACACTGAAACAAAAAGTTTGTCACCAAGGAAATGTAAATGTTTGGCGCCGTCTACCAACTCACACCTATTGAGTTGGTTTCATAGCTCAATAGGTGTGAAACCAACTGACCTCGTCGTCTTTGACACACTGCATCGACAGCTGGTTACAATGCACCCACAAAGCATTCCTTATGACACTGATGCGATCTTCTTCTTGCTGCTGAAACATCTGGAAGACATTTGTTTTGCTATAAAGAAATGTGTTTAGCCTCGAGCTGCAACTCGATATTTTAAACCTCATATTTGTTGGCATTAAAGAACATATTCTCGATTATGACTCTCTTTCTTATTTACTGCCTTGTTTTTGTTTTCTTCTGCGCTGGAACATGCTATGCTTTGACAGTGTTCACCTGTAACTGAACTTATCTGGATGCTCACAGCTAATGTTGGGCTCCACTCCTGTTGATGGTATCACATTCAGGAAGAGTTGGGGCGTGGAAACGTGTTTTCAGAATAATGACTTAGTGTGCAACGTGCAAAGGGGAGGTGTTACATACCCTGACTGAAAAAACAGACATGCCGCTGCTGCTCTGGCGCTGCGTGGTGTGCACAAATCAAAAAGCATATTCTAAGTAACAACTGGAAAGGAACAGTAATGTCTTACCTCGCAGATCTCAACATGCGTCGACTCCCACTCTTGTCGAACTCGGTCAAGTTGCTCAATGTTTGACCTGTACTGAGTCTCTAAAGGCAATCCAAACCAGTTTTACATGTGAGATATGAAAGTACTTATACTTGACAACCTTGTGTTTACATTCTGCGTATTATACTCTTTGAGGATTAATATGAAAGAGAAAGTAAGCATAACCTATATTTAGAGAAAAAAAAAACATGTTCCTGGTAAGCTACATTGGATTATTACATAAAACATGAATTTTCAAGTTTTTTCTCCTTAAATTAGCAAGCATCTTTCTCCTTACCGGCTTCAGCTGCAGTTTCTCTGCACTGTTTTGACTTGTTGTTCATCTAAAAGAAATGACAGAAGAAGAAAAAATAGTGCATTTGTTTGTTTTTTTTCTCCTTTGGATAGAATCACCCTTGTTTCTTCATGCTTTGATTCAAAGGAACCAGACTGTAATTTAATCTTTTAACATGGAGCTAGTCATGAGTTTCTTCCTCTTCTTTTCTTTGTACATTGCGAGTTCATTTTCATTGCGGTACTTGATCATCTTAGAGGAAAAACTACTTTCACATTTGTGTCAATCAAAAGTGACACAACCCGTAATATTAAATAAAAACTGTATAAATGTGCACATGCTTAAACTGATACTTTGTTGATGCGTCTTTGTTAAATGACAATAAAATTTAAGAAGCTGGGGAAATTTCTGGTTGCCACTGATTGTGTTTTGTCTGTGATAAACAACCCCTGCATTCTCCATTTGGCTGAACTGAGAAGATGGGTGGAAAGAGAGAAGCCTTTGTTTCCAAAGAAAACATCAAACTGTTGACTACAGAACCCAAAGGTAAGTCTGACAAGTCTGCAAAACCACACATATCATCACAACGCCAACAGTGAAGCATTGTGGTGGCAGCAACGTGTTCATAGGATTCAGCAGGCGGAGCTAAATTTAATGCTGACATTTTCCTCATCTTCGCAGTTATTAAAGAAGGCATTATTTCTTCAGTGTGGGCAGGTGTAAAAATAAACCCAACATCTCCATAGAGCTTGTTAGCATAGAGGAAGGACAAAGTTCTTCAAAGTTTCCTGGTTGACTGCTTTGCTGGCTTTGGTCCTAAAACCAACACCAGCTGATGACATGAGTCCCTAAACTATTCCTCTCTACTGCCAGTGTATCTTCTCAGTCATCAGGTAGCTGCACTCCAGGAGATCCTTCCCTCCATCTTTGTCAAAAGGGAAAAACCAAAATTCAGCTGAGGGGAGGACAACTGTCTATACAGAAGCCTAACCCACAGAGATACCCCAGGGCAAACAAATCAATAAAACTGAACCTGATCTTCTTTAACACTTTATCACCACCATGTGCATTACTTTCATGCCTCGCAGTAAAACATGCAAAATGAGGAACAAACAAGCAACAAGTGCATTTACTGCAGAATGTATAGACAAACTATTAGGGGTATTAGGTGACCTTTCTGTATTGAAGATCACTTTTTACTGGTTCCATATCTAACCTGTTTTATAGAGGTCTGGGGCAATGCATATAAAACCAGCACAAAATTTTTGTTTGTGATAAAAAAGAAAGCCATGAGAATTTTACATAACATGACTGAAAAAAAAAAAACACAAATAAATTGTTTATTTAGTCAAATGTCTTGAAACTAAGGGACCTGTTATTATGAATCAATTCAAGATGCTTTTAAAGTTCTCATGCATTTCTGAGTTAATAATGAGGAGAATGATGTTGTTTGTAGCTTTTTCTATAAGCTGATGGAATACACTGTAGATGGCCACGAAATGTATTTTTTAATAATTGAGAAAAGGACAGGTTTACATAAAACTTTTCTTCTTCCTTCCTCCTACTCACGTAGAGTAAGACATTTAAGAGTATTTATTTGTGACTTAACAATGATGTGTTAAATCGAATGAATAAACTGACTGGTTGATTGACTGATGTTCAAATTTTCAGAAAATCTAATGGAGGATGGAGTTATTTTGAGAGTCATCTGTCACTTGCCTTCTCAATCTGTTTGGGAGTGGCAGTGGGTGCGTTGCCTAGCCTTTCAGCCGTTTGCTCTGCCTCATCCGCCTCCTTGCAACGCTGCTCATAGGATTTTTTAGACTGTAAGAGGAGGAAACAGAAACAATGTGAAACAGATGACACCCATACATTGTGTGTGGGCTTTTCAGTATGTGGCTTTGACAGAAAAGAAAGATCAAAGGGGGCTTGGTTCAGAAAAATGATTTCACAGCAAGGAAAAATAATAAACAGAAAAATGAGAACACTCGCCACTTCCTTCCTGGCTGCAAACCATGTCCACTGCACCTCAAAAATATCTACAAACTACTTGGTCTTAAAATATAAAGAAATGTGGTATTTTGATCAGAAAATAACATTTCAAAGAAGTGAACTCTTTTTCTTGCATATAAAAGCAGAAGCTACGTGACCTAAAGAAGAAGAAAAAAACTGATAAAGTACTGCATGTGTGACATACACTGGTTTTCAAAAAGACAAATCACAATTTTTTTATATATGTTGCCATGAAAACATGAATTGACCTTACATCTATGGTTTTCTTGTAGAGAGAGACTTTTGTTTTCTGGACCTTCTCCATGATGACCTCAAACTAGTTAGAAAGGACATTAATTCATGTTAGAGGGAAGGAACTCCACTACACGTCCTTAATACATAGTCACCAGAAAGAAAATGGATATGAACCTTTTTTCTCTGCTCTTTCTGCCGCTCTCTGAATTCCTCCATTCTCTTCACCTCTTCCTTCAGGAACCCAGAAAGCTGAATGTGCAAGTTTCCGATGTTTTCAATTTCTGAAAGAAACCAAAGCATGTAGTGAAAATAGAGAACCTTAAGTCATAGATGTTATTTAAGAAAAAGCAAGCTGATTTTTGAGGGTGTTTGGAATATTGTATGCTTACGTGTTTTCATTTCATCAAATGATGCTCTTAGAGTGCTGTGAGAGTAAATTGAAAATTGTTAGGACATGGCAGACAATCATGTCTTTTAGATATTGATGTGTAACACATAATAATCAGTATTTTTGGCTGAAGTCCCCCCCTCCAGATCACCTACCAAATCTCCACCGAGCCACCCGCCTTTCGAGCAATTGAGACCAATTCTTTGCCATACTTTTCCTCGGCCGATGCTCTGCGTACATAACACATTTAGAAATGGCTCAATTTAGAAATTCAGACGTGAATTACCTCAAAAAAGACACCTCACCTCATTTTCAGTAGGTCCTCCACATCCTTACACGTACGCCGACCATCATTAAGTCTCTGAATAATAGTTTCATAACCAGCGTTGCTGGTGAAGTCATTCCCCTTTATAAAAGAAGCAGAAGATTCATTGCTACAGCTCAGTTAATTTGAATGAATATGTTTTTCTCCTCATCTGTGCGTTTTACTGCAGCTTATTTAGGGTGAAAGACAAATTGTCAGTTGAAGGATTCTGAATGGAAACACCTATGGTGGAACCAGTGTCAAATTTTCACATGCACCCTAACGTGGTGAAATTTTACATATGCAAACTCGGAATAGAATTAAAATATAAGGAAACAGAAAAATGGAAAAGTTTGGCTCATGGTCTAAACAGCTCTTTGTGCTTCTGTTTGGTGAATAAGGGTGTCAATACCAATCAGCAACCGAAAAACTCAGTGCACTGGCACTTAACAGGAAATATTCAAAATATATAATGAACCTGGATGATAACATCAAAGAAGCAAAACCACAAACTATTGTTATATGCAAAAAGATACTGTAACACTAAAACACAATTTTGCTTCTTGTGATAGGTGGTTTCATCATGAAAACAGAGCCACCGACAAAAGTAACACATTAAAATTATCATTATAAATATAATTAGTTTCAATAATAGTAACAGAAAACATCTGAGCAGATATAAAAAAAAAAGACTAATCTGAAGTCAGTTACAAAAAAGTCAAACTTTGAAAAGAATAGGGTTAAAAAGACAAAATACAAAAAAACTTCAAAATGACTGCTTTCAAATTTCCAGTAAAACAGTTGCAACAACCACTTTTTTTTTTTTCCTGTGACACTTCCTTCAGCTTTCAACTACACATAAATAAAATACAAAAGAGGAATCAGTATCATTAACAGAACTCACCCAGAAGGAATCTTTAAATTGTAGGGCCATTTTGGTAGTGAATTAAATTAATCCCAGCTGAAGATCTCTACTTTTGCTATCAGTCACAAACCCTCCATGCGTGTAGCAGGCTGTAGCCCGATGCGAGTCAAATGCATCATGCCACACTCAGGAAACATGCAGCGGCTCTCACTCACTTAGTCATGTCATTTAAATAAGGAAGAGCTTAAGCGGGTCAACATCCGCTGCAGCCGAGGTGACACGTGTATTGCAGGCTGTGCAACTTCTCCTTAAACGTGAAAGATAATACGTTTTCTAAACTTCTCATTAATCTTCACATGAAACCAGAGGAAATGTTTTTTTTTTTCTGTCAATTTCTGTTCATATGTTTATCTTATGTTTAAAACGGAACCAAGTCTTCCTGTTCCTACAGAGTATACACAATAAGGGTCACACACAACAGAAATGTTCTAAGTTTTGTAATCCAGTAGAATACGTTGCAATTTGTTCTAGTGGCGACATAATACGGATGCCAGCATAGGACTTTGTAGCAGCTCTACAAAACCTGTGGTTGACATTTACTGGTGCATATCCACTTTTACTTTCAATATTATGCAAATGCTCATTTTTATTTCAGTAATTTGATTCAAAAAGTCCTTTACTACATTGACTCATTAAACACAGTAATAAGCGTAAGGCTTAAAGCATTCTTTTGAATTAACTTTGATAACCGCTGATTTCACCCAATATTAGCCCAGAATTCAGGCCAACACAATATAACCTACACAACAATAGGGAAGGTTTCTATCGTGAGTTGTCCAGCAGACAGTCATTGACAGCTTCCGCAAGAAGCTTAATCTACGAAAGATCATTGCTAATAACAATGACTTAGTGATAATAATAATGGGAAGTTGAATGGAAGGACAACTTGTGGTAGAAAATTTTCTTAAGCAATTGTATCCAAGACATTTGTCACAACTGTGGGATTCCTTGTGTTAAGCCATGGCTGAAGGGAGGAGCTTATAACCCAAGCTGCTTGAGGTCCAGTTGAACATTGAAACATGGAGTGATGATTTTGCAAGCTGGATCATCTACTGGTGTTGGTCCACTCTTTTTCTAAGTCTAATGACATCAAGCACTTTATTCTTCTCGTTGCTGACAATGTATATATTTAGATGCTAATTTCATTGTGCAGCAGACTTGGCACCTGTCAGTGATCGTATCACTGTGACTGACTAGTAAGATCTCCTAATGTGAAAGCCAACAGAGATATTAATCTATTTCTTCTGAGATATGCTGCAGTGAATGACTGTTTCGTGCAAACGGAGGCCTCAGCAAGTACCGAGTTTCTGTAGCATGCATAGTTTTTGATATCAAATATTATTTTTAGCTGATTTTATGTAATATTATAATTTTCTTACTAAACTAAATTTTGTGGTTTCATTAGCTGTAAGACATAAGCATTACATTTGAAACCAGTAACAAAAATCTCACTTTTTCTGAACTGTAAACTTCTAAATTTGAAGAAAATTACAACCAAAAAATTTTCTGTGAAATCATTTTGATAATTGTAACAAAAGAAGCTTGGCTTGATTTAACTTTAGACAGGGAGAAAAAAAAAATCTGACTTTTTACGTGGTGTATGTTAATATACGGTTTTAACTATCTGGTTCATTTTAATTACTGGTACCAAACTAAAACGTTTTGTTCATGAACCAATTACTGGAAATGTATTAGTATGACAGTACCCATTTCACAATTTAAAGCAAGAAGGGAAAAGAACTCAAAGAAATGGAGAGAAGCCAAAAATGAGGTTATAAATAATGGTTATAATTCATCATGTGACAACTGGAGGTGTCTCCCAAAGTCAGTAACTTCACTGTTGATGAATATTTCTTGGTTTTGCAAAACTTCTGTCTCTGAAATGTGTCCATCTCCGTCCTGATCCATTTCCTTGATGAGGTGAAGAGCCTGTTGATGACAATAAAGTCAAGTTGTAATTATTTCCAATTGACAGCTGCAATAACGCTTCCATTGGAAATAGCAAAAAACACAGAACTATGAGCAAGTACTAATAGCTCAGCCTGAAATATAACCTTAAAGCTCTCTACTGAGGACTTCTCTAAAATATATTTAAAGACTTATCTTCCTCTGACAAAGTTAGTTTCATTTAACTATCAGCTGATTTTTCTCCATTACCAAGGATGTTCCACTTGAATTTAACTGTTTTAAGTGAGCAACTGTGTTATTGCTGTTGAGGGATGCAAACTTTGACACAAAGTTTTAATTCTGTCCACCTTTCTTTCTCCACTGCAGCTGTGAGAGGAACCCCAATGCTCCCCCATAGATTTTAGAGCTCGCTGGGATTACCTGTTTTTTTTTTCCTTGCTTGCGCAACAGAGCACTACATTGTGCACTTCGTTCCACAGATAAACAGTCTGCAAGTGTTCAGGTGTTCAATAACGTAGCATTTGCTACATCCAAAACTGACAGGGTTGTGCTGGATATTTTTGGTATGAATATGCATGCCATTACACCCAAAAGAATTATTTTCTAGAAATAAGAAAAAAATCTGCAAGTGCCTATAGCTGCCTGTAAAACAAACAAACAAAAAACTATACAAATGGAATAACTTGTGAGTAATTTGGGTGTTTTTTAAACAGCAGTGGAGCTGTTGAGTCTCCACTGTGACACAAAGAGATTAAACAGGTGTTTAAAGAACAGAATGGGAGCAACCCCTGCCACCCTCTTCATATGTTGACACGAGCTCAAATTAGTTTGTCACAGCTTTGCAACCTTAGAATTGTTACTCCTTAGAAATTGCAGATTAAAGGGACATAATGAAGGGCAAATATACAGAATGCTCATGTTCCACTGCGTTGTTTCCTCGCAATCATTGTTGTCTAGATGTTTTTCTTTCGTTGTACTTCTCTGTATTTAAGGCCTAACATAAAATTCAATCTCAAATAAAGAGAAATGAAAACCTGATAAGTGTAAAGGACACTCATGTTTTTTTCCAGCTATTGCTGATAGAGGCGCTGAAGCGTACTTCCTCTCTTGCTGAACCGTAGCTATTAGGTGCAACCCAGCGCAGCTGTTCATCTCGATCCAGTTTGCCGTTCTGATCTTGGTCGTACAGATCTTTAAATCGTACCGATTCTTCAATCTCCCAGTGTGTTGGGGATTCTCCTGATTTACAAAACGAAGAACAAAAGTTTAAAACAACAAGGTGATTGCAGAGAGTTAATTGGGGAATGGTGGGGAAAGATAGGATCGCCCTACCTTCATTGCGCACATTCCCAATAAATTCCGTCAGGGTGATAAATCCATCTTTATCTGCATCATATTCATTCAGTACATCTTCAATGGCAAAGTCCTGACCGAAAAAAAAGTCAATTTCAGTTGATGCAAACCACACTGAACAAAAAAATGCATTATCATATCAGATTTTGTAAGAATGAAAAAAAAAAAACTCAACTCACTGCCATGTAATCCACTTCAAATGTGTGAGAGAAGGCAAGAAACTCGGTCACGTTGAGGCCAGGTGTGCCGTCCATATCAGCAAAATAAAAGCGCCTCTTTTCCTTTAAGAGAAGCTAACAGTAATATGAGAATATGTTACAGCATCAGTTAAAGAAGGATGTGGAGTAATCAGTGAGATTTTACTGTGAGCCTTTTCACATTACATCCTGTTACAATAACAAACTGTGTATTTTACTAAAATGTTATATGATCTATCAAATGTTATATGATAGATCAAAACAATGTAGCACATAGTTTCCTTCCCCCCCAAATTGTGAGGTGCTTTTGAAGTCAGCTCTTTTGACTCTGCTACCCCAAGAAAACCAAAATCAAATGTAAGCAATTAGCCAAAACAACCATGGTAACTGTAAGGGCTGCACAGACTCACAGCTTAAAAGGAGATTTTCTTGAAAGGAGAACTATCACAGCTCAGGATGCATACTTCATCCTGAACACACCACACCCACCTTCAAACAGGGTGGAGGCAGCTTTATGGCGTATTTATGTTTTCTTCACAAAGGGCGAGAGAGCAGGTAAGAATTGATGTGAGTCAAATAAAGCTGCGCAATAAGTTGAATCGCAAAATAATTGTCGTAATAGCATGTATGATACTGCAGTTGTAAATTACTGCTTAGACAGAATTATTTTTCAAGTTGCAGGCATTTATACTCTGCATAAAGATAATATTTTTGGCCAGTTGGACTGAAAAAAAAATCATATTGATTTATTAAAATATCACAGACTCTAACACAATTGAGAATTTGTGACAAATTCACAAAGTGATGCTGACAGACTCCCGCCACCAAATCAGACTGAGTGAGAGCTATTTCTTAAAGAACAGTGGCCCAAAGAATTGATCATTAGATATGCAAACCTGGTAGAGACATACCCACAAAAAACTGGCTGGTGTAACTGGAGCAAATGTAGGTCAACAAACTATTGACTCGGCAGGGTTTACCACAAATGCTGCCCCCATTTCTCAGATTTTTACCAGGTATTATTTACCTACAACAAAACAACTGTGCTTCAGTTGTTGTTTTGTTGGTTTATAACACAAAATTCCAATAAAATACAGTTTGTGAAAAGATTTCATGAATGCTGTTCGTATACACTGTATAACACAAGCCTACTTGTCTAAGAGACTCTTGCTCTGGGTCCTCCAGTATAGTGTCATCATCAAAAGTGACAAGTTCCTCATGAGCAAGAGAGCTGTACTCCTCCCAGGTAACAACATCGTCGATGTTAGTATCAAACTGAGTGAACCGCTCTCTTGCATCTTCTAAAGCGTATTGTTTGTAGACTTGCTGAATCCACAGAGTGATCTCCTCTAAGAATAAGACACAGAACATGACCAGATTAAAATGCATTTCAGTTGGTGTATTTTTGCCTTTTTGACCTTACTTAAAGTTACCTGCACTTAGTAGATTGTCCTCATTTGCGTCAATCTTCTCTACAACCGCCATCATCTTCTTTCTCTGCTCTGTTGGGCTGAGTTCTTTCATTTCCCCAGCGCTCTAAAAAACGCAAAGAGAAGTGGAATGAAACATTAGCAAGGGATTAACAAATAAAAATAATGACCCAAATATCAAACAACCTCCTCTCCGAGCAGAACAGCCATATCATGGTCAGGGTTATGCTGTTCCCCGATGTAATGATCTTCAAGGATATGTTCAGGTGAGCCTAACTGTCCAACACTAAATTGAAGCATCAGGAGGAAGAGGAATAACGTGTGTTCCATCTGTTGAGATTTAGAAAAGTAAGTCAGAGTAAACGTAAACATGGCAAACAGAAATATCCGATGCAAGTCTGCTATCTGGCGGTCTGCAGGTGGAAGTTCAATCAAAAACCTTGCAAATCCAAACATAACTCCTGCGCTTAGTATATGAGACTAGTGAAAAAGATTAAATAAGCCTCGCAAAATGGATTTTTTTTGTCTTGCGGTCGATTTGTAATAAGAATAGCGAAAATTGTACAAATGAAAGAAACTATAGAAGAGAAAAAGCAAAGACAACGTTAACACAAATACTCTTAGTGCGTCAACACAAATACTCTTAGTTAAAACAAGTCACCAATGCCTTAACTGCGATTAAGCTAATTTATATAGTTGTTACAAGTTAAAAACGTTATTACCGTGAAAAGTTGTCAGTTCAAATGTTTACCTTAGCGATGTTCAAAGTCGCGTAGTACGGGATGTCCGGTAAAGAACTTCAAATTAAAAGACGCATAGACATAATTGTTTACTTTCTAATTTGATAAATGTGTACAATCGGTTGAAAATTCTTTTGAAGTAAAACTGCAAATTGCATCGAGAATAAACGTGTGTTTGTTTTCTTTTTTAAATACTGTTTTTGTTTGCTTCAGCAATTACATGTTATGCTGTTATGATTTTCATTGTTGATGTTAATGTTCAGTTTTATTTCACGACTCCCAACTGAGCTCTTGACCCAAAAAACTTGTATTTAAGTATTGTAATATTTTTACTTAATGCTTTTACTTTGAAAACATATTCACGTTGTAAACTCAACCAACCGTCCGTGGATGTCCCGCCTGATCTCAATGGTTGCCATGGCAGACAATTTAAAGTCCCGCCCATCAAAATATGTACCACCCATTAACCTACGTGACTGGCTGTTGCTTGTGCCGTTGCCAGGCTACTGTAATTTAATTGGAGAATTTTAGCGTCAATCACAGAAACGAACTCAACGCACTTCCTGCTAGCGCTCGAGTAGGTTGTCCTTAATGTCATGTATTTATCTGACATGTTTTTCCATCACCACTGACCAGAAGACAACTTTGCATTCGAACGTTCATTATCGACAAATACTAAGGACCGAACTTGAGGCGGGTCGATGTCTAAAGACAACCGCCATGATGGGAGACGGCGTGGAACTGGCCAGCACCGTCTCGGCCCGAGAGTTAGCCAAGGTGTTGACGGGAGGGAAAGGTCTGGGAGCAACAGCTCTGGCTCCTCGCACGGAGGAGGCAAAAGCAAAAGTACATCCACGCTTTCATCTAAGGTAAGTACAAAACAGAAGCTTTGGTCATAAGAAAACATTAAAGGCTAAAACGAACAGTTGCATTGCTGCACCGCGACATGCTAGGTTAGCTTACATGTGGGATTACTTACCTTTTAGTAGGTGTGCTACCTTCAAAAAAGTGGCTCCCTTTGAACTCTCCTTTTCCACACAGCAGCGCCAGTATTTTCACCAAATGTTGTCTGTTCTTTAATTATATAAAACTTGTTCATACATGTGGGAATGTAGCTGAAAATGATAATTGTCCTCGTAAAATAGAGACGTGTGCATAAAACCAGTAACATTGTTCTCTTTTTTTGTACTGTTCTACTAAAGATGAGGGATTGCGTCACTTCTATCTTAACAAATTTGATATTTTCAGAATAACTGTGTTTCTTATGAATCTATTTGAATGACATTATCAAGCATAAAATTGGTGAAAGTAAAATATTTATTTTTGCCTTCTTTGATTAAACGCAGGTGCACTAGAATAGCATGTATAAACACAAAACAAACGGCATATGTTGACAGTATGCCCCATATTTTTCAAAACATATAAACTAGCACTTTTGTACACTTAGCACAAAAAACAATAACCCTGCATAAAATTACCATTTTGTTGTCTATTAAACGTTTAGCAATATATGTGCTTTATTTTAGCCTCACATATCAGAAGGAAATAAAGCTACTTTTTTCAATGCTTCAAGGACAACATGTTAAACACAGTTCTTTTGAAAATAATAGATGGAGCTTAACTGAATTCAAAACCAAAAATCTTGTTAACAAGTCTTATGGATCTTATGTTGAAAAATATTCTGTTGTGTTTTGGTCAACTAAAACAAATGCTTCTTCATGTATGCAGTGCACTCAGATTTTATGACATTGTCACATGGGAATGCTACACAGTTTGATGATGATATAGGATTTACAGCTCGTTAACAAAGACAACAACCAAGTATGATTTAATTATCTTTGCTAAATAAATTCATGTACATTGTATATTGTTTTCTACAAGTTTAATAAGAAAAAGTACTAGTCAAACAAGGCAAAATTGAAATTTCTGATCTAAATGCAAAATTTTATTTACATAGGAATATTGACACTGCACTTCACTTCGAACACACCAAGTCTTATTGTGAAACATGGTGGTGGCAGCATCATGCTGTGGGGATAGATTTCTTCAGTAGGCTCAATAAAGCAGGTTAGAGTTTGATGGAGAGTGGTTTGAGGTAAAAACAGTCCAAGCCTGAAAGAAAATCTGTTCGAGGCTGCAAAAGACTTCAAGGTAGAGCGGGCACACAACCCTCCAGCAGATGAGACTGAGCGTACAGACAGACCGACTGTGGAATGGTTTAAATCTGTCATACTCTTATGTTTTGGCCCATTCAAAGACCAGCGTTAAATCCAATTGGAAACCTTGGGAGGAGTTAATTCAGTCTTCTAGAGGTTGAGCTTTTTTGGAAACATGAGTGGTCAAAAGTTTCAGCTTGTAGATGTGCAAAGCTTTAAAGACTGACCTCAAATGATTCTCAACAGAATGTGCATCTACAAAGGATTAAGTGGGGGAGATTGAATACAAGTGAACTGCACACATTTTTCAGAAAAAAAAAAAGAAAACAAATTTGTTTCCCCATTCTTTTTAGCTTTTATGATGTTTTGCACTTTGGAGTCATCACACCCATGAGATGCAGAGCATCCCTCTGTGGATAATATGCTCTGTTAACTCACACTAACAGTGCCCTGTTCGTGTCACCCTGCAGTTGTACTCTCATCCCTCTGGCAGCTCAGTATAAAGGGCAGAGGGGGCAGGCTCGGTGCATGCACATGATTGCGCAGCGCTGTGGCAGAAGGAGAGTGAGAGACGTGAAGCAGAGATAGCGGGGGATCTGATGCAGAGCTGGGAGCGAAGACGAGGGGAGCCGTAAACATAGGAAGCTGCGTACAGTAGCGAGTAGAGGAGACTGGCAGGCGGCAAGTCAGGCCTGAGAAGTGGCTGCTAACTCAGCAGAGTGCTGAGGGCTCAGGGTAGATTACTGAAAGAGAGCTCTAGACAGAATAGTGGAAGGGGAAGGAAGGAGTGATGGGCCATTCTCTGCTTGTCTCTTTCAATCGCCTTTGAGAGAGGAGTTGGCACAGCTGGGCAAGTTGCTATAGCAGAGTGGACTACACAGTGGGCGTCTATTTTAGTCCTGCTGTCAGGCAACGATGTCACCTTGGACAAATGGCAGTGCCGGTTAGAAGGAACAGGTTGCATGGAATGGGCTACTAAGTATGTCAGGAGTGGATAAAGACGAGGAACCCGCTCACAGACTCTACTTCTACTCTGTATGTATGATCTAATGTTTTTATTCCCAGGTTCTATTAATAAGTCAGCGCTCCCTTTCTGTTCATGCTTATGTCTGTTTGTGGGTCTTGCCAAGAGGGAAACCTGACGCTTGCCCCTTACTCAGCACTGTCTTGAAATTAAACAAGCAGTGTAGTGCATGGCAATGGACTCCCTGGCCAAATAAGATAACAGTAGTTAGACACTAAAGTGTGTATCTGCTCTGAAGGCCAGGTGACAGCTTGCATACAGCTTATTAAGTACTCATTAAGTGGATCACAACACTGTTGTTGGAAGGCTTTTTGTTTACCTCGGCTATTGCACAGGTATTTAGGAATTGTGAGTAGGTCCAGGTTTGAGGGTAAACCTGTGCTCCCTACATGGCAGCTTTTTCATGTTTTACTGTCCAGTTCTTTGATGTTCTTTTATGTCTTTGTAGTGTCTCTCTAGTTACCAGAATAAAGCCCAGGCCACACCACTTGACAAGTAAAGAATTTTGCTCACCAAAAGTAGGTCAGCTGGCCATCTCCCTTAGGGACATTAAATACTATCAGACAATTGCACGCATGCTGTTTCTGCATGTGTATCGTCCAATGAGTCATGTTGATATGTATTCTGGAAGGATTAAATGAAGTGGCATGTTACATTACATCATGCCAAATTAATGCTTGTTTTCTCACATCTTCAGATACAACTGAAAATATCTGGGGGGTTTTTTTTAACATAAACCAGAAGAAGAATTGTTTTCTTCTGTGCTGCAGCAGTCTGTTTGAGAGGCAGCCAAGTAAAGACACAGTTTGTTCCATGACTCATGTAGTTAAGTGGCGAACAGCCTCTCCTTTTAACTAGGCTTATTTCAGGTGGTGGAAATTTATTCCTTTGATTTTGATTTTACACAAGTATAGATTCAATAATTTAGAGGAAGTACAGGACTGGTGCAGGCATTTGTGTGAGGAGGATAAACACAAGAAGGAAAGATCCAAACTGAAAGACCTTGTGTTATTTCTTTGTTATCCCCCTCCTTAAAAGCAGATTATTTCATATAAACAAGTATTATTTTTATGACATTTCTCTATGTGGCTGGGATTTTGGGAGTTGCTGATCCAATGTTTTATCACAGACAGTATTGATGTTTCTGTGATAAAGGGTGCAAAATCTGACAGTATGTTTCTTTTGTTTTTTTTTTTTTGTTCATAGGATTTTTTCACTTGAGATTGCAGTCAGGTTCACTGATGCATATTCAATGTGTAGGTCAACCATGATGCTCACTGAGCACAGAGTGTGTTTAAAGCCTCTGCCTCTAGCTGTTTCTTGTCATAGTCTGTGCCATTAAATCTCACCCCTATGCTTATTATGTTACAATGTTGTGCCTTCAGTTCTGGTTCAAACAATAGCAAGTATAGGTCAATGATTGGAACAATATTATCAAATATATTTTTATTTGAAAATTATAAAATGCATCAATTTCACAGTAACTTTGTATATCATTAACCCTACCCCAACTGATGTGCGTTAAAAGCAATAAAGTACTTACGTAAGATTGTGCAACTTTGTGTGCATCACTGATTGAATAACTGAAGACATTCTGCCGCTGTGTATATTTCAACTGTTTAAAATCTGTGTGCAAGGTGTCTTAAAATGGAGGTAACCATAGCAACACTGCTCATTTCAGGATGTGCTATACGTTAACACTGGAGTTTTGAAGTAGTTTAATGATTTACCAGTCTGAATTCTCACTTTTTTGTTTTCAATTTTGTAGATAGGTAGAAATATGGACTAATTATAAATTTTTTTTAAATAACCTAAATATAATTTTTTTTGTTTATCAACCATAATGTCCTCAAAAACACCCTAC